TTACTCTGGCTATATAGAAAGATTGCATGAAAGATTTGCACGTCCTGAGGCCTGTACCACGAAACAGGATTACTGGGTTACTCAGACAGCTTCAGGTTTAAATCTGACTTTCCGGTACCACAAAGCTGGTTTCATTCTTTGCAAGGCTAGTCACCATGGTAACGGACTCTTAACGGAAAACCTGCTCCGGCAAAGGCTAGCTTTCAGGATTGATGTGAATCCTAGAAAACGCTCCACCCAGCAGCCAGTCAGCTGTTTGGGAAACAATGAGGTGTCCTTTAATTGAAGACCCGGTTAAATTAAGAAGGAAAAAGAACTTTAAACGGAACATCACAATAGAAGTACTTAAAAATCAAATAGCATTTAAAACATAATATGTTCTTGACAAACTAAGCAGTTTTTTGGATCAATATTTATTTATTGTGTTTGTTGTAACAGTATAAATCAGTCAGGAAGTTAATGGTAAACTGTTAGGATAAAAATAAATGTTCTGACAGCTCAAAAATCAGAATGATTTCACTTAAACCACAGGTGTCAAACTGGTTCCAGAAAGGGCCGTGTGGCTGCAGGTTTTCTTTGCAACCAAGCGATGGCACACCAGACTCCATTCATCTCATCAAGTCATCATGTTAACACTGGACTCACTTGATGAGATGAATGGAGTCTGGTGTGCCATCGCTTGGTTGCAAAGAAAACCTGCAGCCACACGGCCTTTTCTGGAACCAGTTTGACAGCCCTGACTTAAACTGATCACTTCTTCCATTAATTTGATGCAATATTAGCACGAGCTTCCAGCTTTATTGTATTCCAAACAATACTGAATTAAAAAGTCCAGCTACCAGATGAAATGATGTTTTTTGTGTTTTATCTTATCTGCTACCAAGTCCTGTTCACTTCTGAGGGGAACGTGGAAAATATCCACTACAGTTATTGGGGTGCAGGCTGTGTTAAATGAAACTGATGTGTACCTTGCTCATTGACTCAGTCAGCAATTCTTTGCCACGATAATAGACGTCTTTCATGCCACCAATGTTTGTCTTTTCATGGAGACAGTGTTTTTCCTCTATTTCTGTAAGGTTTGTAATCCTCATAGGAGAAATAAGCCGCTCTCTCTTCTGCACTGATGATTGTGATTGGTCTGCTACCTTGATCCCGCCCCTTTATACGCCCACATTAACAGATTCATGATCAGTTCATGTTAGATTAAGTTAGCTTCATGGTACCGCTGATACTAATTGCCATTGTTGGGGATTTGTTAAACTGGATAGGCAGGAAGTAATCCCACTATGTCTAGCTCTCCTCCTGGTATGGGCCGCTGTTGACTTATTATATTTTAATTTTTGCTTCATTTGTTAGTTAAAAAAAAAAGCCATATGTGTACAGTTTCAATAACAACAGAGGTACAATACTACGTATGTGCACAAGGGGTAAACAAGGAAGAAGCCTACTGCGGCTCTGCAATTAGCACCTTCCAGCAAATTCATGAAATAATGAAGTAATGTCTAAGATCCTGTGTGGAAAAAAAGATGCAGGTGTTATATTGACGGATGCATGTATCGTTATTAATTGTGTTATTAGTGATAGCACTGCTACAATAATATAAATCGATAAACTGATTGATTATCGATTTTTTTTTCCTGAATTTGGTGTCCCTGTTTGCGTTTGTTAGGAACAGGAATTTTCTTTTACCTTGACGTTCTGATAGGAGACTCAGGAGAGGATAGATTTGAAATTAAAGGATAAGATACACCCAAAATTATAATCTCAACCTTAATTAGGTGAAGCATAGGGCAGTACGCATCTAGTTGGGATAATTTAACTTTAAAACGGAATTCTGGTTGGAAAATGGTTCTGCCAGCAGATGATGCCCGGTCTGTTTATGTTTGCTCATCGTGACATGTGGTTTAATTCTATTTAGGCTCAAAAGGGACTTTCAAAAAACTATCAAGATGGATGCTCGGTGTATGTAACCTTATGTTATCATGCTCTAGTGTTTTTTTGTTCTTTTTCTCTGTACAGGCATACAACCTCATTATGCACCTTTAGAATAAACTGACAGCATCTCTATAAATGTCAAAGTTTATTACAATATGTAAGAACTATATGGCACCCTGCGTTAATAATTTGCAAGGTACTTTAAAGTCAACTACATTCATGCTGTGTTTGCATGTGGTGTAATAATACTCCCCAATTAATTTAGAGAAGGATTTAATGGAGATAATAGAGATTATCTATAATTTCAGGCTCAGAGATGTATACAAAACCCAGATTTGTAACCAAATTAATGGAAAGTTATATTTTGAGTTCTCTATGGAAGACTTTAACCCAAACAAAAATAAAACTACATAATCAAAATATCCTTTTAAAAAATAATAATCAAATACACTGCTTTTATGTAAGAAACCATGTCAACTCAGTCAAGGGCACTTTAGATTGAACATCTAATTATAAGTTCTTAATTAATTAAATAAACTAAGACATACTTCATACCTTTGATAATGTACTCGTATATATCTTTACATAACACACCCATGTAAAATCCTCATTCAAGCTGCAGGTTTCCTCTATCAGTTTGTCATCACACAGCTAAATGTTAATCCTTTTTTTAATTCTAAGAATTAAATATTTGTCCCTATGAAAAAAAGAATAATTTTAAAGAGTATACACGATGTAAGAGACGTTTCCTGGGCAATACTCACCGCTTTCAGCTGTTCCAATCGGTCCTTCATTATTAGTTCTGTGAAATAAACAGTTTAAACTCCCCCAAAGATGAACCAGAATTGGATGGAAGACTTTTCCTCAGCCAGCTGCAGAGCTAGCCGGACAGCAGACACCCAACCGCCGCTAAAAGGAAATTGTACAAGTCCCCAAAAAGTCCTGGCAGGTTTCTGAGTTGCGGAGTTTTTTTTTCTGAAAACTGGTGTCTTCCCGTCGCTCTTCCATACAATATGGCTGCTGGGTTTAAAGGCAGTTTTTTTTTCTTTTTTTGAGCTAAATCTCTTCTTCCAGGGGATTAAAACAACAGTTGTGTGGGGCCGTTTAATCTGCCTCTGCGCTGCCCACCACTAATCATTCTGAAACGCACTTTTCGAGCTCACGCATGCGCAGCAGGGTCCCTACTCACTCGGATGAAGCCACGCCCCGAGCCACCTGCAAAGATGATGCATTTACGTGCTGTGGGAATAATGTTTTTCAGTTAATACAGGGGAAATATTAGGTTTTACTTGCTATCTCTTCAAACTCAAGGCTTTTCAAAATCCCCAGGTTTTTTTCTCTACATTTATCACTTCTACTCTTTTTCTTACTTCTTACCAGTTCCTTAGTCTCTGATGCAGGTTTCTGCTGCCACATATTATTGTAGAAGGAATGTATTAAAAAAATTGTTAAAATAAAAATAAATAAAAAAAACTAAAGAATAAAAATAGGTAAAATAAATAAAAAGAAAGGGTTTATGCAGTGTGATGTTAAGACTTTGTTTTAATCTACAAACCCGTTTTTTTGTGGTAAGCATGGCTAATCATACTACCAACAGTTTATTCCATTCTAGGGGAATGTTTATTGCATGAGATGTTTAATAACCAAACCCTTCTTTAAACTTCCCCATAGCTTTCCCTGTGACCCATCTGCCAAGTTTCACTTTAACTTAATAACGCTGCTGTTATCTTATCTTCACATAAAGCCTAATATAAATCATACACAGGCAGAATTAGTTGTTTCTAACAATTTATTGTGCCTGATTTTAAGCAGCAAATAATTGGTTTGATTTGTATTTTCTAGAAATTTCTCCACCCGTTCACAATTATGTGTTAAATCTTGTGTGTAAAATCTAATATTAATATAGTAATATTGATACATAAGTAAAAAAAATTAAGGTAATTGTTGTGCTAAATGTGGGAAAGGAAGATCAAGGTAGTGTAATATTCAAAGTTCATTTGATCTTCCCTTGAACAACAGCAAAGAGACGCCACAAAGAACAGGCGTAACTTCTTGAGAAAGCTCAGATAATCCAATATTTGTAACAACATGTTTGTGTTGAGCAGTGGAATTTGCTCTGTAGCCATGTGTTGCTACAACAACATCCAAGCAGCTGGCTGTGGATCCCTGGAGCAACATGGAGGAATGACGATCGGACATAATATGAAGCCATGTTTGATCAACTAATTCTTTGGTTCAGCTGCATTTAAAACTAAAAACCAAATTTATTCTTAAAAGCTATATTTTACCAGGACCAATGGTGTATTTCTGCATGTTTTAGTTTTGTGATAATTGGCATTACCTAAACAAAAGTAAACACAATTTAGATTTTTTTATTCCTTTTAAAAAAGCTGACTGTCTACCAACATCATGCACAAAATCTGTAAAATCTTCTCCTTGGAGTGAGATGAACACTTTGTTAAAAAGGTAAATAAAGTTGATTTATAAAGTGCTATTCTAAGCTCTAGTGACCAATATTTGCACAGTTGCTTTCACAGAGCCCAGACATTCTTACACTGATACAAGCAAGTAGAGGTTAGGTGCCTTGCCTGAGGGCACAGGCATGTCACAGGAGAAGCTTGACCTACAAAATTTAGATTCAAAACGACTAGTGATTTAAATAAATATCTGGACCAAACACACCATTTAATAATTAAAACAAAGGCGTTTAAAAGCCTGGACCGTAGCAGACCCCAGGTATTTAAAAAAGGTTAAATGTATTTTGAATCAAGAAAGCCATTTAAGTGAAGGGTGAAAACATTTTAAACTGAAAAAAGTCCAGTCTTTTTTTTTTTTCTTCCCCACCAATTATTTTGTGGGGAAAAAAAGATGAATCATCTTCAAACAGGATGTGAAGGATAAATATAATTATCTTTTTTGTTAATCAAAGTTGATTTATTGGCTTATTTAATGTTGCTTGAACGCACCGCTCATGGTTTCGAGACCAGTAATGATGAATTGAAAGTAATAAAACTACCATATAATCATGTGATATTTTAATCTAAAGAGGATTATAACTTTAAACATGAGAATCCAAACTGTTGCCAGTGTTTCATTTTTCCATTGGTTGGACAATATGCTTGTTTACCCTCACATTCTGTGAACTGTGTAAAGTGCTCATTCTGAATAGGGTCCTGAAATAAATGAAAACTAACATCCTTAGAGGAAATGCATTACACGTTACATCGAACTTATTCAGCACAGATGTTACGCAATACATTCAAATGGTGTACTGCTCAGTGAGCAGCAGGACTCTACTGACACCTAGTGGACAGTAAAGGAGAAACTCTACGGATAGACACCCGATTTTGGAGACAACTGATTCAGACCAAGTTTAGCTCATTTATAGTTTTATTATCCGAAACTGCAAAACATCACTACCGGAGCAGATAAAACTCACTTTTCAAGGTTATTTCCTACCCCACCATGCACTCCATGTCATTGAATTAAGTATTTTGTGCGCACATGTGTAACACACCAGAATATTGACTTAAGTTTTAGGGGTGGTCACATAATTAAAATAACGACTTAGTCAAGAAGCACCATGCTTCTAGGTACTTCATAATCCTTTTGCATACGTCTACCATCAGGTATTAACCTTAGATTTAAGATGCTGTGCTATTAGACCTGTTAATAGACAACTCAGGGATTTGCAGTCAGTCACAAAAAAAAAGTATCCCAAGGGTGTCAGTGGAAAAAAAAGCTAGACAACTTTTGCTACCATGACAGACAACGGCTTAAAACTAGGACATTGGTGAGGGGCAAGCTGAAACGGAATTCATTTTAGTTTAAAAATGCTAAGCCTTTATTTACCCAATTAGATCTGAAATGACTTCAGTTTTCCTTTTTATGTTCTAGGTCTGCTACCATTTAAAATGACCGAGCCAAGACAATTATATTATACCGAGAATGTTTTTATTCAAACTTTTTATCCCCTTAGTGCTTCCAGTACACCGTACAACAGCATTATGCGAGCCTGATATTTGCAGCGGAGGAGGGTGCTTGACGACGAAAAGAGCAGCATGTTGCCATGCCAAACAACACTAGGGTGGGGTGTGTCATACAGTGAAATTAGAACCACAACTTTTGCACCGAGTTTTTTTTCCTTACTTTTTTAAAACGAAAAATTCAAAAATAAAAAAATCTGAAAAGGGATTTTACAGTAAAGGAGGGGGTGAAAAAAAATCCAACTTCTTGTCCACATCTGGGGAAGGGAGGGAGGGAGGTCAGGTAACAGGTTAGAGGTCATCTTCTTCATCTGGGAGTGCCGTCTGTGATGCAACCTAGTATGGAAAAAGGAAAATATAAACAAATCAGCTCAGCAGCCAAGGCATGTGCACAAGAAAACAGATCTCCAAGTTAAATCACAATTATACTTACTTGAAGCTCTTCCTCATACTTGGCGGCAAGTGATGGGTCCATCTGGACCTCTGGGGGAGCGAGGGCTGGCATAGCCACAAACTCCAAGTTGGGATCACCGATCAACTTCCTTGCTAACCACAGGAAAGGCTTCTCAAAGTTGTAGTTACTTTTGGCAGAAATGTCATAGTACTATGGAAAGAAGAGACAAAACAATATTAAACAAAAATAAAATAAAATAAAACAGTCTACATGGAAAAAAATAATAATTACCTGCAGATTCTTCTTGCGGTGAAACACGATGCTCTTGGCTTTAACTTTCCTGTCTTTGATGTCTACTTTGTTGCCGCACAGGACAATAGGAATGTTCTCGCACACACGGACCAGGTCACGATGCCAGTTGGGCACGTTCTTGTAGGTGACTCGGGAGGTGACATCAAACATGATGATCGCACACTGAGCTGTAAAGAAAAAAAAAAGGTAAGTCACCTCACTGATGAAAAAAAAAAAAGAAAACAATGCCAAGTACATTATGACGGACAGAGTTGGAATCAAGTACCTTGGATGTAATAGCCATCTCTCAAGCCTCCAAACTTTTCCTGTCCAGCTGTGTCCCACACATTATACTTGATGGGCCCTCTGTTGGTGTGGAACATCAACGGGTGCACTTCTACTCCCAGAGTGGCTATGATTAAACAAAATATGTATGAGGACAACATTTTTCAAATGTCTATATCATCTTTCAACCATGCCAACTTTATTGGGTTATAACTATTTGGATCCATTTTTTTCCCCAGATGCAACATTGGCTTGTGATGTGGTTGTGGATACTCACCAACATACTTCTTCTCAAACTCTCCTGTAATGTGTCTCTTCACAAATGTGGTCTTTCCAGTGCCTCCATCTCCAACCAACACCAGCTGAGGGAAACACAGTAGTTAGTCCAAACTGGCTGGTACCGGTTCACCACCGTTAACCGATAAATGCTGCGGGGGTCAACCTCCTCCAAGCCCAACGCGGCACATATTTCCTTTTATTTCTAAAAATGACTTACCTTAAACACCGCCACAGGTACACACTGTCCCATAGAGTCGGCCATGGTTGCGACTTTTCTGAGTAGAAACAAAACAAGGCGGGATGGTCAGTTAGCACGTTTTCAGTTGCCCACCAGTTAGTCGCGCGAGGCTAATTGTGTCAACTATTACAGATTTATTTGGAAAGCTTGAAAAACAAATGGTCAAAAATGCAATGTAGATGATTTTCGCCAACAATAAGGCCTCGAGAAAAGTATCTATATACTTGAAATAACAAGCCCATTACATACAACTTATTCTAGCATGTTCTATCATTGCTAACGCCCGGACATGAAACAAACGCAGCATTACGGTAACATTAGCTAATAGAGTCTAAATTCGCCTTAAATGTTAAAGAATGCTGCGTTCAAAGATGACAGCAAACATTTTTTAATAGACCCCAGAGGACTATTTTATCATCGTTGAGTTGCTAACTAGCTTAGCAGCTAGCAAACTGATGCCGTTAGTTTAGTGCGCCATATGACGAGCGAGCGCACTTTTTCTTGCTCGAGTGGAACAATCAACCTGGAGAGGCAGCTAATGCGTTCCACGCTGCTGCCATTATTGTATTCATTAAAAACACCAGCTACATGGGACTACTGACAAATTATAAAACCATTTACTTATTAAATTAAACATGAAACCACTAATATCAACTGTTTCCATTAACAAAGCAGTGAAAAGACAAGAGTGCCAAGCATGCTAACACGTTAGCAAGCATGAGCATGGAAGCCATTCTTTCCTATATGCTAGCGGCTAAGTTAGCTAGCAGTAAGCGCACACACTAGACAAATAAAAAAATCTCATAGTCAAGGGGTGAATTCAGCGACATACAAACAACCGTGAAATCCGAATGATACCTTGAAGTTTTCTGCGGTTCTTACGGACTTTCCGCGTAAACAATAATTTAAAAGAAAGGCCGGGCCACAGAGAGGGAGGAAATCAGAGACTCACCGGTGTCACTGCGAAGAGAGGAAAGAGTAAATGGCTGCGTTCGCGGGAGATTCAGCGTGGACTATGAGTCAGTTTCCGCCTTGGTCACGTGAGCAACGCAGCGGCAAATACGTCTGAAATTCAGACCATGAGCCAGAATCCCTGTTTCTATATTTCCTAAAGTATTTCCTCACATAAACAAACCAGTTCATTTGTTTGATCCAAACACTTCCATGGCATCGTACGGAAGAGGATTAGGGCCACTGAAAAAGTAAAAAAAAGTTAAATGATTTTTAAATTTTATTTCAGTTTAATATGGAAGAAAAGTCAGAATTCTGACTTTTTTCTCCTAATTCTGACTTTAATCTCAGAATTCTGACTTTTCCCCCTTATTAAACTGAAATAAAATTTCAAAATCAGTTAGCTTTTTTTTATTTTTTCAGTAACCCTCCGTACTAATCCTCTTCCATAGCACGTTTGTAAACTTTGGAGTGAACAAACTGACCTCACGCTTATAAAACAACTTTGGGATGAAAACAGTGGAAGCTGTGATTCAGTTTTTTTCTTATTTATATAGAGCACAAATAAATTCAGGCGACCCATTATAATTAAGCATGAGAAAAGAAAAAGCTATACTATTGTATTGATTAAAAAAATATTTAAGTTTTTTGCTGCAGTTTCTAGATATCTTGTCTTGAACAGCAGGTATACGGTATGTCTTATTTATAGAGTATTTAGCTTAATCCTGATTGGAAACAAATAACCAGTTGTATAACTTACCACCCGTGTTTGTCTAAGCAAGTACATGTTTTGAGATAAATTGAAAATATTCCAATTGACAATAACTGAATTGTTCGTAGTTTGGTCTGACTCAGAATCAGACTGTATTAGGACATTATGTATTTGAATAACTTGCACAATATCAAAGGAATAAATTGTATTCTATATAAATGCATAAGAATTGTGCATGCCTTAAATGTCTGCAGTGATTGTATACGGCTTCAAAGCATTTATGCTTTATAAATCCATATAATATCGACTAACAATAATTCAACATGCCATTTTTATTTTAAGATCTGCTTTATTTCAGTCTAAATAAAGCTTTATTACTCTTCAAGTTATTCATGTGTTTTTCAGTTACACAATCAAAAAACATGAACATTTTACACTATTACATCAAAAAATTAAAAACACAACCCTGCCCAGCAAAATGTAATCACTACCCTGAATTATCTAAAGAAATGGTGAGAACCCTGCACTGAAAAATACAGAACTACATAAGGTAGACATTTAGCTAGTCATTCCATCCTGGATTTCTCTGTCAATGATTATGAGCTTAAGATTTTAGTATTGCTTTTCCAGTTTCTTAACATGTAACTCTGTTTGAAGGTCATATGTGTGCTTTAGATCAAAAGGGATTAAAATTCAATTGCCTTTAACCACTGGTTTATATACATTACTATACTTGAGCAAAGATTGTCAAGTTGAAAGTATTCTTTGTCCATGAAAATCTAAGTTATGCTCAATTGCTCAAAGTAAAAATAACCAAAATTAAAGATTTATTTATTTAAATAACTATTAAGATTTTAATAATATAATAAACACAATATTTTAATGTTATGAAAGTTCTTTTTTATTACATTTTTCACCAGGCATTGTATAATTTGTGCGTCTCTGCAGCATGGCTTCAGTGTTTATCCCTAATTCACTTTTACATCAATAAGGCTACATGTAGCTTCCTCTTTGTTGCATATACTTAATGGTTTGTCGCAAACATAACCTTTTATCTGTAAAGATAATCTGCTTGTATGTTGGCTGCTATCTCAGCCTCCCATCGGTCTCCATTGTTTAGCAGCTTCTCTTTGTTGTACAGCAGCTCCTCATGAGTCTCTGTAGCAAATTCAAAGTTTGGACCCTGGGGAAAAAATGACATAAGAGCACTGGATTTCAGTTGACATGTATAATGTGTATACAACAAGGGAAACGGATAGTTTTAGGAGGTTTTTAGCATTAGAAAATAGACAATCATAAAAATATCCATTTCACCTCCACAATGGCGTCAACAGGACAGGCTTCCTGGCAGAAACCACAATAGATGCACTTGGTCATGTCGATGTCATAGCGTGTAGTTCTCCTACTGCCATCAGCTCGAGTCTCAGCTTCAATAGTGATGGCCTGAGGAGAAAAATTTAATGAATAATTGCTGTAAAAGCAAAATTAGTTTTAGGACGCAATTTTGTTCTTTTGACAATTAAAGGTATAGTGGAGGATTTTCATGAGTTTTTGAAAAGACCCACCCTCTCCCCTTTTATAAAAAAAATGCACATGGACAACCCTGTACCCGCTCCAGAGAGGGAACACCTATTAAACGTGTGCAAGAGCATGCAGGAGCCAATTTCTCCTCGTGCATGCTCTGTTTAAAAGTTGCTCTTTACATCACTCATGCAAGCTTAATTTCCAAAAGAAGATTTGCAATTTTTCCACTACGTCAGACTAACCACTGGTAAGTGAAAATGGGGATGAGCACGTAAGACGGCCTTACGTAAACATATCACCAGAATGATTGACGATTAGGAGGACCACTTATTTTGAACATCTTCCACTATATTTTTAGCTATGGAGCCAATCTTTTAAAGAAACATTTAAAGAGATCTGGGATTATGTTACTAAGAATTAAATGATACTGCTATCTTATTGGTTGAGAGTTGGGTTACTTTTCTCAGATTAATTGTTCCAAAGGCTGCAACTTAGCAGCAAATACCTTATTTCTGATCTTTGTCCGCCTTCATCGCTAATTACTCATATTGGCTTTTTTGTAGCATTAGGTCCCTCTGTATAATGCTAAGGTGGTTTTATTCAAATATTCTTCAGGTTGTATGTGCATCTCCTAAACATCTGTATGGAATGTTGAACCTGAGTGGATTAGGTCAAATTCATAATACATTCAAACTTGTAATCAAGTCCTGTAATGAAAGTTTATGAACAATCATTTTACCTATGAAATGAATGGCTAAAACTCCTGCAAAGGATGAGGGTTTGTCCACTTTTGACTAGCAACCACATGAGTATATTTGTTTACCTGAGCAGGACAGATGGCTTCACACAGCTTACAAGCGATACAGCGCTCTTCTCCACTGGGGTAGCGGCGAAGGGCATGCTCTCCACGAAACCGTGGCGACAGAGGACCTTTCTCAAATGGGTAGTTGATGGTGGCAGGCTCACGAAACAGATAACTCATTGTCATTCCTAAACCTACAGGTTTAATATTTAAGGTACAACTTTAATTAATGCATTTTTAAAATCTTACATTGTGCAAAATGACAACAAATAATCTTAAATATGGTAGAAAATAAAATGCCTGAAATAACTCATACAATAGAGGCTGAGTTTGTGATAGCAAACATATCACTAGGCTACAAACACGTGAGCTACAAATCAGCTTTGCTCAGAGGGAGTTGTTAGAATTTAATCTTGGTATTTTCATGAGATTTGAATTTTTTTAAATGCAGTTTCAGGCTTTAACTCCATGCATGAATCAGGAAATCTGCTCAGAAATAAAAAAATGTATGACCTCTGATGAGCTCAGTCCATAAGAGGGTTGTTGCAGCCCGGTCAGTTATGGATTTCAGGTCAGTCGGCAGCTCCTGAGCATTTACATACTCTGCCAGCAGGAGAAGAGATATATATGGGGTTAGATCATATAGTAAATGAAATCAAACCTCATAAATAAGGAACCTACGTGCAGAAGTGTATCCCTACAGAAACATTTACTAATTATGTCACTTAACATCTACAAACATGCAGCAACAAAAAGAAGCAAATACATTACATGTGAAGTCAAATGAACCAAAATCTTCTTATCCAAAATGACTAAGCTTAAGTTAACCTCCAAAACTAATATAAAGTTGGTATGTGCGTCCTTCAAAAATCACAGAGAGCTTCAAAATCAGATATATATTAATATATGGATAGAAAAAAAAAAAAAAAAAACACCAGAGTAAAAGACGAAAACTGCAAACAGTCCTAATCCAGTTAAAGGCCTGCCTGAAAAAAAATAATCCGAAACTGCTGCTTGAAGGAATCAAGAAAATCTAAACAGAGGCTACACATTCAAAGCAATCCTTTTCTGTCAGACAAAAAACAATTCACTACTATATGTCGATGAATAATTTAAAATCCCACTAAAATACACAAAAGATTGTAGTTTGTATCTTTACAAATTGTAAGAAATTAAAGGGATGTACATACTTTGGCACTGGACTATATTTAGTCAAGTACTTACTGTAGCCTTCTCTGGGCACACTAACACTGAATGTGCGCATGACCCCAGAACCAGATCCAAATGTTCCTGAAGATTCATAAACATGCAGTGAGCCTGCGTCATTCCCACAAATACATGTTATTACTCTAGTTTAGAACATATATTTGGTACCTTGTTTCGAGTAGCAGTGCAACAGACGCAGACTGAGAGTAGCAGACATCTGTTTAACAACAAAGAGAGCTCAGATTGAACAATGCAAGCAGAAGGTTAAACAAAAAGAAAAAATATTAGGGAATCTGAACGTCAGGAGCAAACAGCTGAGGAACAGCCCGGCTTTAATCCCTGCTGTATGATACGTTCATGGATCACCGGGAGGATGGGAGATCCCAATTACCAACTGGATTTAAAAGTGTTTCTTAATTGTAAACCATTATTGCCAAGTAAAGATTTAAGGTAAAGGAAAGCTACAGTGGATTAACATTAATTAATAGTGGTAAAACTGCCTTTTACCCCATTGTCAAATTAACAATAGCAATAAAATAAAAACTCTTATATAGGTTAATATTTTTAGCTGTCAAATAGGAATGGTCTGACTGTCTGAATAATGTTTCCTTACAGCAACATAATGAAGCTTTGCTATTCTGTTAATACATTAGTTCTTCCCTGAGCTATATTCCCTATTTTTATTTCATTTTTTGTTTAACTATCTCTTAATAAGCTGAAAAAAAAACCTCTTACACAACAATAAAACAAGTTGGGTTGTTTTTTTCTTTTCTTAACAGATTTTTTTGTTTACTTGTTTTTCCTCTGTTTTCTACTCCATCAGTCTGAAATGAAAACCTTTATAATCGCTGCATTCAAAGAGGCTTTTTAATTCCTCTTTCTTTCTGTGGAACAATATTTCTTGTTTTATTACCTCACTATGAAATCTATAAAGATAATTTTCACAGATATAATTTACAACTAAAAGATGCAAGATAATCTTTATTCTCTGAGATTATCAACAAAAACAGCAACAATGCTCGCACCTTATTTGTCACCGTCAACAGCTTAACTCTTCTATCGGCTATCTAAAAATGCCTGAAATTACTTTGCAAAGTTATTTACTGAGAAAATAAAAGGTATTAAAATAGCAGTCCGTACATCAATGTCAACTCCAGTACCAGTGCTGTCACCAGTTAGAATAAACTTGGTTAAAATGCTCCAAGTCTACCAAATAAACTTCATTTTTAGATTTTAAATTCTAGAAGAAATTGTTCAGCAGCTATGCTCCTCTTCCTGCTGTCTTCATGTCTTACCTATGTGTTTTATTGAGAATGTTTTACCTCTTTTAGAGTCTGATTTTATTAAAATCATAAACAAATTCCTTATGTAAGGTGCTTTCCCCCAGGCCTTAGAAACAGTAGTTATCAAACCAGTGTTGAAAAAGAGAAGTTTGGAAAAAATGAATCCCAAAGAACTATAGACCCATCTCAAAACCTCCCTTCAATCAGTAAAATTATTTAAAAGGTTGTGTTTCAGCATTTAAATACATTTCTTAACAATGACCTGCTGTTTTGATGTCTTCCAGTTAGGTTTTCATGCCAACCAAAGTACAGAGACTGCCCTAAATAAGGTGTTCAATAACATCCGTAGAGATTCCGACTCTAGAAGAACCACAGTGCTGCTATTATTAGACCTCAGTGCAGCGTTTTACACTGTTGATCACTCGATTTTATTAGAGCGTCTGGAAAACTTGGTCGGCCTTTCTGTTTACACACTGGAATGGTTTAAATCCTACTTGGAGGATAGGGACTTCTATGTGTCAGCAGGGAACTTTAAACTCATATGCTGAGTTCCTCAAAGCTCCGTTCTGGGATTTCCTCCTATTCCAACCCATTCAATATCTACATGCTCCCCCTAGCTGAGAATATAGCAAACAACAAGATCAGTTACCATAACTGTGCAGACGACACACAACTTTACATCACAATGTCACCAGGTGACTATGAATCTATCAGAGCATTGGTTAGATGCTTAGAACAGATCCATATGTGGATGAGTGAACAATTTCTACAGCTGAATTAAAACAAAACTGAGGTAACAATCTTCTGACCAAACAAGAAGAGATCCAGATTTGGCTCACGGCTTCAGCTACTACAGCAAGAAACCACTGATTATGGTTGAAATCGTGATGTCACGATGGACTCAGACCTGAGCATTCAGAGGTACATGAAGGCAGTTACTAAGTCAGTCTTTTATCAGCTGAAGAACATTTCCAGGATTAAATGACTAATGCCCAAGCAGGATCTGGAGAAACTCAGTCATGCATTTATCTTTAATGGAATTGATTACAGCAACAGTGTCTTCATAGGTTTGCCTAAAAAGTCCATCAGACAGCTGCAGATGATGCAAAAGTGCTGCCAGTTTTCCAGTGGTATCAAAAGTACACGCATTTGTTACTTAAGTAGAAGTAGCTATAGATACTGCAGTTTAAAAACACTATGGTAAAAGTTGAAGTATCAACTTGACCTCTTTACTCAAATAAAAAATGTTGTGCTCCAAAAACTACTTTAAGTATAAAAGTATAAAGTAACCTTTAAGAAAAAGGCCAGATGCCAATATATGAATTGAAAGCTCAATGTTTAGACTATTTCAAGAAATTCTTTGAGATAGGGCCAAGGATGAGGGAGGTCTTGTTGGTCTCCGTCTCCCGATACGCTCTCGCCTGTGTCCGACCTTTCAGAGATTTAGACATGTTTTTCTGAATCTGACATTGTAGCATGGCATAGACAATTCACGTTTGCAGTTTAAAGAACACCTGCTTGCTTCTGATGATTTCCTTTAGCTAACCAATGAGTGTTTGCATTATATGACTCATCCATGGCATGAAATATATATTTATAAACGAATTAAAAATCAGCGGGGTCCGAATAAAGAAAATCAACCAGTAAATGTCCGGAGACATTTTTAATGATCTGTTACTTTAAACAGAATTCAACACTGAAATAAAATGACGTATTTATGCATTCATGTTATACATTGAATTAAAAAAAAGATTTAAAAAAATTAAAATTAAAATAGCCAAATATTGCATGCCGTGCTATCTGAGAAGAGTTTACACTTGTATGACTGTATTCCTGTATATCCATCAGTAGTTTAAAGGACAAGAGTCAGCAAATGCAAATTCTGCCCTGTAAAACAATGACAGCGCAATTGTCGCTGTACGATCTGAAGCCTCATTCTGAGGTTTTAAACTAGCTTTTGAAAAACTTTGATAATTTGCTGCTGTAACGTATATATTTTTTAGAATAAAGAGCTAGCAGATGTGCATAATCAAAAAAATAACAGAAATACAATTCTAGAGCATTCAGTATTTTAAGAAAGCCCACACTGTTTCTGAATACATAAGTTATTGTATGAGTTAAGTTCTGTTCCGTTTGTCTCTTTCCTTGTAAGTATGAAATGTCCCATGCTCCTGAATGCACCATAGCTGTCCGACGCTCACGAATGCATCACACTGGTCTGTGTAGATGCGCGTTTTATTTTCTGCTGAAGACAAAGCTTTGCAGTTTTAAAACCCACCCACGTCGGCTAATCACTGTTTATTGTTGTGTGTGAATAACAAGAGAATACAACAAATAAATCAGCTTTACCTCGGACAAAAGCCTTCATAACATCGCAGTCCGCTAATCCGTGACCTGACCTCTGCATTAAACCGAAGCCAAGAGTAACGAGTAACGTTTGTTTAAAAAATTTAAGGAATAGAAAGTAATATACTTGTGTGAAAATGTAATGAGTAGAAGTCAAAAGTAGGAGGAAGAATAAGTAATGGAGTAAAGTATAGATACCTAAAAAGTGTACTTAAGTACAGTAACGAAGTACTTCGTTACTTGACACCTGTGCAGTTTTCTAAGTAGAACTAAAAAAGTTGAGAGCATGGTTCTAAAGTCCTTACATTGAGCTCCGTGTATCTCAGAGAATAGACTTTAAAATCCTCCTGCCAATTCAAAAATCACTGAATGGATCAGTACCTCAATGCATAACAGATTCATTGTCAGTGTATCAAACTCCCAGACCACTCAAGTCTTCTAGTTCACACCTACACTGTACACCCAGAACTACAACCAAACATGGAGAAGCACCAATTAGTTCCTATGCTCCACTTGTCTGGAACAAACTTCCAGAAGACTCTAAAAGTTATTTCAATTCAAACTTATAAACTTTGTTTAGAACTGCCTTTGACTGTTGAAGTTAAACTGGTAACTGAGGTATTATAAGGTTTTGATCTAACTGTATTTGTTTGTTTTTACTTTCTGCTTTTATCTTCATTTGCTTTTACTCTGCTTTAATTTTTCTTTTATGTTATTGTTTCATTAATTTAAAGTACTTTGATTTGTCCTTGTACTGAATTTTGCTATACAAATAAACCTGCCTTGCCTTACCATATATATCTGTCATTTCCCCCTTAATTTGCATCACTTTTGACATATATTTCCCCCCAAAAGAAAGGACTACAATTTTTCCATTTATTACAAATAATTTGTGTTTGCAAAAATAATATGTACACATAATGTTGATATTGGACCAAAACGTGTGTCAGAGGAGACATATTGGTATATACTAATAGTACCAGAGAAGGGCGGTGTTAAGAAGAGTCAGATGAACAACAGCACAGAGAGAAATTCGTTTTTTTGCCCAACTTTCATCATCGGAAGGCCTCACTCTACAGCTCTTCTGCAAAAGACTAATCGATAAAGAAGGGAAATTAAAAGGTATTTACAGTTGAATTACGTTACAGCTGTTGTTTCTAGTTGAATGACAGGAAGTTAACTTTCTATTAACTTCCTGTTAATACTCTCCCTGCCCTGAGTCAAGTGCGCGGCAGAGAAAGAAACAGCAGCAGAAGAAAAAACATGTAGAAAACAGGTGAACTACTAACTACTATTGGTTCAGATGGGATTATTACTCCTAAAGATGCACAACAACTTTGTGTTGAAATCTTCATGACTGGGGACGCTTTGACAACGTGAACCACAGGAGCCCCTATTCCTCGGTGCTGTAAAGATGTTGAAAGCTTCGAGTCAAGCTCAGAAGCATCTGAGTGAGGAGGACAGCTCTGGATCGGATGCCGGGTCAGAGGTCAGTCTGGAACCAGAGACGGACCGGTTTGGCTTCATTCTGACCAATGGATCCACAGCTGGGTGAGTACACCTGCAGGACTCTGGAACAATGCTACTTTACTGTCAGGATGGTTGGTACTGCCAGAAAAAACTCACTGATCAAGGAAATGAAGTAGTTTTAAAACTCAACTTAACACACAATTTACAATCTTAATATACAGGTTTAGACTAAGTATTTTACGAATAAAGTGCCAAAATACCTTATAGTAAATACCTTTGAGGGGTTAAGCTGCTATTAAATTAATGCAGTTCATATAATCTGCCACCTCTGTAAGAATTTCTTGTTTTTAATTTAGATCAGGCTGAGCTGCCTTTTTTTTTTTTTTTAACAGATTGTTTAAAAGGTGTTAGTTGAGCAGAATCAGCTTGGGAAAATGTGCGTAAAGGGGAGCCGCAGCGACAAACAAATTTTATTTTCGTCTCCCCGTGGCGAGATCAGGAAGTTATACAAGCCCACATCTCTGCAGACCAGTGTGTTCATGCAGCAGAGAAACCTGTGCATCCTAGAAGCCAAAACGGCATAAGACAACCAATCTCATTTTGCAAAACAAATGATATATAAAATGGGGCAAGGATTAAAGGAATTGAACCTTTTAAGCTAATTGTCTGAGAGGTAAAACATATACTTAAGAAACAAAGCACAAATATGAACAATTGTATTTAATTTAACACTGCAATAAAAATAATTTTAAGCACTTTTTAAATTAAATCTGCACCTTTTCTGTAATGCAAAATACATCTTCAACCGGATCTTAATTTCCTCACACTTTTTGTTCAAATATTAATGTAAAATAAAATGAACAAAACTCTAACAAGCTTAGATATTCTCCTGTTAAAAAATAAAAATATGAATACCCAACTATAACACTACAGTTTATATTGTGGTGGTGCAGAGAAGGTTTGGCTCACTGTAAAATTCTTCACCATGACAACAAGGAGTAAAAAATAATTGTCAGTATTTACACAATAAATTAAAGCCAAAATGAATAATATGATTTCAGTGGTTTGTGCTCTTTTTACTTTTAAACAATGAGTGTACATGTTTTTTGTGACAAAAATATTTACAAATGAACACAACCTGTGTGCCTTTTCTCAGTCGACAAACTGACAATGTGCAGAAACATGTGGGGGAGGGACAGCAATGTATTATCTTTCTTTTTTTTAACAACTTAATATGATAACCAGGGAACAGGAAATAATACAAATGGAATTAGTAAAAAAAATAATCCAGAACTATGTTCTAACCAGCATTATATTTTATTACATAATCTCACGGGATACATGGATACATGTAATTAGAATTGTTTGTAATTTAAACATAGTACTTTTTTCATGTTACAGATTGAAGTGATGTGTTGGATTGTTGTATGTTGATTGTGTTTTATTATGACCGGCCCAGGGACTTGCAGATGGAAGGTAGCTGTAGCTAAATCTGATGTAAAACATTTCCTATTTTCCAAAGAATAATGAGTAACCACATTTTCCCTGTAAAACTTCTGACATCTCATGAAAAGGACTTTATAGTGCAGGTAAAGTTGAATTTTAAAAAAAAAAACATTGATACATTTTCACAATGGAAGCCAACAGTTCTTGATTCAACTTTACCCAACATATTCTCTTACATGACATATGAACACAGATGGAGGGATGATGGTGGATGTATCAATATAGAATAAGAAAGGCCAAACAACCTACTACCTGTCATCTTCACATTTTCCCCATTGATAACATCCTGACCTGTTGCTATAGAGACGTCAAACTGCAAACGTGTGGTTTTCCTGTTTCCTGCCTTGTTTTTCAGAGCTCTGCGTCTCTGCTGTAATCGCACAGACACACAATGCAAGCTGACTTTAAAGGCCCTAGCTAAAATTAGTTCATAGGTTACCTTTGTAAAAAAAAAAAAAAAATGTGATTAAGTTACTTTCTTATTTTGTATTCTGTGTTGTGTGTCAGGACTATGGGGCCATCCCCTGAGCTTGTCAGGCAGCGGGAGGCCAAATGGATCAACATCATGAGCCAATGGGACCGCATCTTGATAAAGAAGAGCAACAAGGTGTGGAAGATTAAAAGCACATTGGTTCTTCACTTTAGAGCCTTAATAAGCTATAAAAAGGGCAGAATAAAATTGTTTAATTCTCTGTCATGACAAATCAAAATGTTAGCTGTTTAAAAAGCTTGAAGAAATCATACAGGAGGCAGGATTAATGTGTGTTTGACCACTGAGAGTTCACTTGAACTTGATGCCTCTGCAGGTCAAGCTGCAGTGCCAGAAAGGAATCCCTGCCTCGCTACGAGCGAAGTGTTGGCCCCTGCTATGTGGAGCAACAGACAGAATGAGACAAAATAAAGGCCTGTATGAGGCAAGTGCTTTTCAATTTTCACCCAGGTTAATGGTTTCCACCAATGTCCAGCTGTATTGATCAGACAGCTGCAAAGTTGTTGCTGAAATTTGACTAATGTTTGAGCTAATCAATCATGTTTATGCTAGAAATCTCTAAAGATGTTAGGATGGCATTACAAAGTTAGTTCGGTAATTCAATTCAAGAAGTGATAGTCATCGTATAGATGAACCAAACTTGTCTATTGTGTTGAGAAAAAGGCTCTTTGGAGAACATCATCAATCATTTGAATGGAAAAATTAAGTGGAAGGAAAAATGAGCAAGCAGCAAAGATAATCACCGACAAAATGGATTGTGGATTGAAGCCCATTCAAGAGTTTGTGTAGCTGGTTAATTGTGTGAGTGCTCCAAGAGACAAAACGAAAAATACTGTTGCCCAGTGGTCAAAATGTTCTTTTTTAGATTGAAGTGTAATATGCATTTTACCTGGAAGTCAAGACTTGATGGTAAACTAAAATAGAATAGAATAATCCACCAACAGCATTCCTCGTCTTAGATTAAAATAAACAATTTAATTACGCACATAGAAGAACATAGTTAAAATCAATTGTTAAGAGCTTGTAAATGTGAATATAGGCCTAGAGAAGAAACAGAGTCCAGGTCCTTAAGGTCTATGATGAAGTTTCCATGTCATCAGCTGACGTTGGTCCAAACTGTCCATTTGCTAAGTTAAAATTTTCACAGCTTTGTGATTCCCTCTGCTAGGAAGATGTATGAAGAATTTAATTTCCTAAGAGGATTGATTAGCCAGCAAGCTCCTAGATTAACACAACAGGGAGAATCTAACGGGTATCATCAGGAGGAAAATGAGAGAAACCAGAGCCATCGATAAGATAAGCTGATGGCCACAAATAAAACAACCTGAGCTTCCTTAACTCCCCGGCATAACCACAGGCCACAATGCAGCGATGCAATAACACATGTATAAAGGGAAGAGCATCAAACAGTTATATTATATCTTACAGCACAAGGAGTAAAGCTAAGTGTTTTATTAACAGTCTAATTTACTGAGAAGTTAAATTTGAGGTTTTCAGTGGCAGTAAAGTATCCACATCTAAACACTAAGTATATGTATTATACCAGTATTTATTATAGAGCATATGGGTTTTACTAATTATATTTGTGACACAAATAAATACTTTGATGATATTCTAATGCACTGAGGATTTCCCAGAATGCATGTTTCATTAGATTTCTTCATGCTTTACTTCACTGGATTAATCATTTAGACACAGAATGAACTATAAATATTAATGACTCTTTATTTTAGTCTCTAGACTCACAGCCAGGTCTGCAGAGCTGGGTGGATATAATTGAGAGGGATCTAGATCGACAGTTCCCCTTCCATGAGATGTTCCTCTCCAAAGATGGACACGGGTAGGGAAGCTTTCTTCACGGTTTTCATCTAAAATCTAAGCAGCCTTATGATGTCTTCAGCTACTGATCCCTCGAGATAATTCTTTATATGTTGTAATGAAAAAATATTTCTGTTCATTGAGGTTCTTTGTGGTTTATGTGTGTGTGCGTGCGTGCAGGCAGCGGGGCTTGTTCCGGGTGCTGAAAGCATACACCCAGTTCCAGCCAGAGGAAGGTTACTGCCAGGCTCAGGGGCCGGTTGCTGCGGTGCTGCTGATGAACATGCCTGCTGAGGTTAGACCAGGAACACATTTCTGTTCTGCAGACTGGTTGAAAGTTCATATGAAACGCAATCACCATAAAAGGGAGAATTAGTTACTCAGCGGGGCTATTTAAAATGTTTTCTTTCATTTCATCTAAGCTTTGATATTTCTAAAATGAAAATTTTACATCACAGGAAAAAAATAATACATCAGCTTAAATATATTCATGCAAGCTTAATGAAAGGGTATCGTAAAGAATGAATTAAATATTCATGCCTTTTTAATGCATATTTAATAGGTTTAGATTTTTGTCTGTTGTGCATTAATATGTTGTTGGTTTGCAAGATTACATGCTGATAACATATTGATATTGCTGAACAAAACAAATTTATCAGGCATCTTTCAACCTCCACAGACACCAACAACCAGAGACAATGTTCATCTGCCTGCTTACTTCACTGCATTCTCACTTTTATGGAAATATTTATTTTAGAAGCCATTATATCCTGATTTTCTTGTTCATGTCTGGCAGGAGGCCTTCTGGTGTTTGGTTCAGATCAGTGAGCAGTACCTGCCTGGATACTATAGCCCTCTGCTGGTGAGTTCACTCTTAACTTGTCGTTTTCTCTTGGTTTAGGACTGATTGAAAGTGAAGTTTCCTTCACATTAACCTTGTAGATTGTCTTTATTTTAAAAAACAAAACATAAATGTATTTTTGATAGTTTTATACATAGTAAGTTAAACAACTATGAAATTCTGCTAAATCAACTGGATGGACAGGATTTAACTTGCATTTGGATTTTTCTTTTATCATATTGTAACAAGTGGTATCTTTATCCTCTAGCATCTATGTCACTAACATCTATGTTAAGTAAGGGAATACTTACAGTAGAAGTCAATCTAACAAAAAAAGCATGCTACCTGGTAGTTTAAGAAACATGGCGCCCAAGCCACTGACACAGATATATAACCTGACTTAATTTAAAAGTATATGGTGAGACCTAAGGAAGGAAGGAAGGAAGGAAGGATGGATGGATGAGAGGAAATACTGTTTTCTTTTCCTCTCTCAATCATCTTTTGCACCTGGGACATCTAATCAAATTCCATCTTGTTCTGTGATGAAATCATTTTTTTATTTAACAGCATGAGTTTATCCAGGAGACACACCGTTTCTGAGATTAAGGGGTGTTCATCTAATGGGGTGGTGTTGTTCGCAGGAGGGAGTGCTGTTTGATGCAGCCATTCTTTCCTGGGTCCTGAAGAAGACGTGCCCAGCTGCACACAAACATCTCCAGCAGCACGGGGTGGAGCCCCTCATGTTTGCCACTGACTGGTTGATGTGTCTGTTCACACGTCACCTGCCATTTAACACACTTCTCCGAGTATGGGACCTCTTCTTCTGCTATGGTGAATTTTTTGAAAACTAATCCGTTTTTAAAGTGATCCGTTTTAGGTGAAAACAGATAGATGGATAGTGTTTATATCTCACCAAGTTCTTCCCCCTCTGCTGTGAAGGTGTGAGGGTGCTGCTCCAGGTGGCGGTGGTGTTGGTGCGTCGTGTCCTGGGTCGGGCTGAGCAGAGGAAGCAGTGCCCAGGCCAGATGGAGACGCTGGAAAGGCTAAGGGGTGTCAGGGAACACGTTCAGGAGGAGGAGGAATCATTCATAGCAGAGGTAACATTCATAGATGCTATAACTTATTGTTTCTGTGTTTCCTACAGAGGAAACAAAAGTCTGCAGAAGCAACATGATCACCATTTTCTGTGATGAAAGGTTTGGACTAATGGAAGCTGTAATCCCAATGAATAATATAATTGAGGAAGAACTAAAGATTTGGACAAAAATAACAACCACTATCCTGATTTAAACTTAGATGAAACTTGGCATACTTCTATAATAGCTGTTAAAGCCCATCACTGTATGTGCGTCTAGAGCATAATAACATGACCTTCCAGATACAACAGCTCACTTTATGCTACAGCCTCAACATTTCTTTGCAACCTTAATACTGTGATGTGAGTTAGTGTGAAACACATGATGTGGCTCATTAGTAAAGATAACCATGCAGGTGTCCCTCCTCTATTTTAAACTCTTTTTACAGCAACAAACAACTGGTTATCTAATTGTCATTTTTTTTGACAGACCAAAACAAAATAGTGCATATTTTTTCTGCAATCACAGCTGAAATAATTTTGTAGTCTCTTCCAGTTTGGCACATGTGAAAAATATTTATTATTAAGAGTTTCATTTTACTTTTGCCAAATATTCTCCAACTGAGTGAGAAAAACTGACATGTTTTGACCTAAATTATTTTATTATAGCTCTGGTTTGAAGCATTTATATCCTAATGGATGGAAGATCTCCATTACAGTCTAGAGTTTATTATTGCCTTAGATTAGCTTTTCTTTTAGGGTCGCACTGTGTTTCAACTTTGACCAGCTTAGCCATTCCCGCTGAGATGAAGCTTCCTTAAAGCATGATGCTGCCACATTTTCACATTGGCCAAGGTTTTTTAGTGTTTCTACGTGTGAACCAGAGTACTTCCTATTCAATACTTGCCATCTACCCTTCAATGCTTAGTGCAAAACCTGTGACTTTCCCATAAAGACCAGATTTATGAAGCGCATGGCTAGTTTCCAGACTATAGATTGTTACAAATGAGCTGTGAATCTCTGCAGCCTCTCCACAGTTACTATGGGTCTGCGTCCCTGATTAAAAACTATAAATGTTCCTCATTTTGAGGAAAAAATATAAGTCACAGGGTAAGAAAAGTGGCTTGATTGGAATTCTTCAAACTTTCTAAATACAGTTGTTAAATTGAAAAAAATTACTTTTAAAAAAGAAAAAAAAAACTGAAGTAAAGCTCAAGATCAGCTAAAATATCTAATAAGGAAAATGTTAGACATAAGGTCCTAGAATGAGCTCACTTTTTCTTAAACAACTGTTAAGAATGTATATTTTATCATAAAACACATAAATTATGTCCATAAAAAGGGGAAAATCATTGCGGTGCAGTCTGAGCCATCTCCTGGCAGGCTGTATGGTGGCGTACTCCATTCATTATGGTTTGAATGCTGCATTATTTTTAAAGCTCAGGATCGTATATTGGGGCCTAACTGAGCTTTAAACTTCTCCACAGCTTCATCCCTGATCTGTCTATCATGTTCCTTGGTCTTCTGCTTCACTCACTAATGTTTTCTCACAAACCTGTAGGCCTCCATAGAACAGATAGATTTAAACTGAGTTTAAAAGCATTAGAATAAACAGGAGCTGAAAACAAAGGGGCTGTGTGGAGTGATATGATTGGACAAAGTCCCTCATGGCGTCTTCTCTTCTGCTCCATTCAGGTTTGTTCCGTGCCGCTCTCAGGTAAAGACCTGGAGAGGCGGACGGAGAAGGAGTTGGATAGGTGGAGGAAAGACAAACCCACATCTACATTCGACCCTCGGGGTCGCTGCTACGGATATCGGATGGCGTGGGCAAGAGCTCGACAGCGAGAGGAAGAACGGGAGAAGAAGGAAAGACAAACAGGGAATCTGTCCATCCCTCTTGCCCGCTCCGCCTCTACTCTTTCTCTGTCTCCTTCCCTTCTTCACAAGAGGTTTAGGAAAGGAGGGAAAGTCAATGCTAGTGAATGGGAGAGCGGCAAAAAAGTGGTGAGGCATCTTTCAATGGGAGCAAAAGAGGACTGGAAGAGCTGGAGTGATTTAGAATTCAAGAAGGTTCAAGGTGTCCAAGAAGAGGATTTAGCGTCAGACGGACAGAAAACAGAGAACGAGGCGAAGCTGACAGAAGATCAACAGGAAGAAAACAAAAACTCACCAACAGAGCAGAGAGAAGAAACGATGAAAGAAGAGAAAAAGGCTGAGCCTTTGGAAGAAAAGGAGAACAGCAAAGAAAAAGGAGAAATCATAATCATTTTAGAAAATACAGAGGACTGTCAATCTGTGGAAAACAAATCCCAAACTGCTGAAGAATCGTCTCAGTGTGAGGAGATGGTCGATCCAAACCAAACACAACCTCTGGAGGAGGACGATGAGCAGAGCCATGAGGAGGAAACCGGAGATAGAGAAATGAATCAGAAGGTAGAGAATGAGGAAAAGCTGCAAAATACAGAACTATCATCTGTTCAGGAAGAACCAGAGAACAAAAATAATGAGGATAGTGAAGATCCAGAAATTATTAATGAGACAGAGAACCCAGGAAAGCTGCAAAATACACAACAGTCACATGTTCTAGAAGAACCAGTGAACAGCAGACATGAAGAGGAAAGCACAGACTTAGAAATAAATCAGATAGAAAACCCAGAAAAGCTGGAACATAAAGAGAAATCAGCTGTTCTGGAAGAATCGGGAAACAGCAAACATGAAGAGGAGAGTGCAGACTTAGAAATAGATCTGATAGAAATGCCAGAAAAGCTGGAAAATATAGAGAAATCAGCTGTTCTGGAAGAACCAGGAAACAGCACACATGAAGAGGAGAGTGCAGACTTAGAAATAGATCTGATAGAAAACCCAGAAAAACTGGAAAATATAGAGAAATCAGCTGTTCTGGAAGAACCAGGAAACAGCACACATGAAGAGGAGAGCACAGACGTACAAATAAATCTGATAGAGAACCCAGGAAAACTGGAAAACACAGAGAAATCAGCTGTTCTGGAAGAACCAGGAAACAAAAACAATGAGTATAATGGAGATCCAGGAATTAGTAATGCAACAGAGAACCCAGGAATGCTGCAGAATACAGTACAATCACATGTTCTGGAAGAACCAAGCAATGAGCAGGAGAAGGAGACGACAGAGATGCACGAGGAAGAGGAGAACCCTACAGCTAATAGCAGAAATAAGGAGGAGTTGGAGGAACATCCCACTGAGACTCAGAGTGAAAACATAAACACAAAAACAGAGACTCAGCTTCAGATTCTCACAGAGTCATGGGAGGAGCCGGCCACACAAGCTGACATGAAACCAGAGGCGGCTACAGAAACTGAAAATTCCCAACTGCCGCAGCGAGACGCGGTCACAGAGAGAAGTGAGACAAACCTGGACTCTGAATCGCACCAAGACCTGGATCCTAAAACTGACACACAACAACAAGAAGAAGAAGGAACGATCACAGAGCACAGCTCTGAATCACTGGTAGAAACAGAAAAAGCAGAGGCACACACCCACTTAGACACACAAACTGATGTCCTGGCAGAGAATACAGCTCTGCAGGACGAACTGAATGAAGAAACAACACAAACAGAGGGAGAATCACAGACACCACCTGAAAGCCCCAAAGGAGAGGAGGAGAATGAAATAAGCATCTCCGTTAAAGAAGTAGAAGCAGTGATAAATGGACAAATAGAGGAGGCCGCTGTGTCTGGACATGCAGAGACACAAGGCGAGGAATGTGTTTCCGAACAAAGAAATTCAGAGGAATCAGAAATACACGTTCAGACAGACGAGGAGGCTGTGGAGTCTTCATCACCTGCAGAAAAAGAGATTTTACTCCAGGATGAGTCCCTTGACCAAAAAGATAAATCTGATCAGAAACAAATAAGCACCTCTGACATTGCTACACCTGAACAGTCGGCGCCAGAGGCTGTGAAGGATGCAGGGAGCATAGAAAATGTTCAAGAAAGCAAAGCAGGAGAAGATGATGTCTTTGTCTTCCCTGAACCAAAACAATCTGACAGCAACACAGAAATCCACCAGGAAACCAAAGATCCTCCTGAGCTTAGCGACAGCAGCCAGGAGCTAGGCTTTGTACGCCACAGCAGTCGCTCCTCTGGCGATTTCCGCCTGCGGAAGTCCTCCGTCTCACGTAGCTCGACACGCAGACTCTCAGAGGATCTCTTCAGCGGTGCAGAGAAAGCGAAGCAATCCCACTTCAGCACCACTCAACCAGAATCACAGCCTGAGGAATCGAAATCAGAACAAACCGTTCCTCAAGTTGCTGATGATGCAGCGGCACAGCAGGCAGAAACCCCCAAGCGCTTCGGACTCTTCCGCAAACTGAAAGGAGAGCAGCCCGAGAAGGCCAAACAGAAGAAGAAGAAGGCCAAAATGCAGGTACCCAAAATCCTGATTCAGGACTTCAGTGACGTGACGCCAGCAGCTGAGCCGGCCCAGGAAGACACGGAGGAGAAACTGAGCTCCAGGGAGAGGAGGCGGCGGCGCAGGGAGCAGGATAGAAAGGAAAAGGAAGAGGAGAAGTTAAAAAAGAAGAAAGAGAAGGAAAAAGACAGGGAGCGGAGGAAACCCCAGACCAGGGGAAAAAGTTTTCAAGCCCAGAAGGAGAAAGTTTGTGAAGATGTTGCTCATCCTGCTAAGGCCGGCTCACAGATCCATAGACACTCTGTTTCTTATGCTGAATCTTACTTTTAAAACCAGCATCTGATTTTAGGTTTTATTACCTTGCTTCTTTGATCTCCACCACGCTTTTTACGTCAACCGTTTCAGATGTAAATAACTAATAAATATTGTTTATATAATATGAAAAGCTAATTTATTTTCTTTTGTGCAACAGCTTCTCCAACAACCAGGCAGACGAAACGTTTTTAACAAACCAAATCGCTTCATGTTCAGCCTCACATTTTTTAAGTCCAACATGAGCACCAGAATCCGCAAAGAAAAAAAGCACTGCTTGTATAAGCAGGTCCATGTCATCGCTAAATGGTCCAGTAAAAGCAGAAAGTAGGATCCAAAGCATCAGTTTCTGTCACTTCAAGTAATCCTGGTGTGTTGGTGTTAACAGCACTGTCAGGTTTGCAGATTTCTCTGTTTCTTTGATCGTCATTCTGCTTCAGTTTCATCTTCGCTGTCGCTGGCCAGCACTTCCTGAGTTGTAACCGGCTGCGTGCTCATCAGAGGGGACGACGGAAGCACCGATCCAAAGAACAAGGAACGGAACTACGGGAGAAAAGGAAAAAAGTTAGAAGGCAGAACTTAATCTTTTATGGTTACTGACTATAGGGTATGCTAAAGGGGTGTTTTAGGTCACATGCGCAAAAAAGTCTCCCAGTGACCATGTTTTCTTACGCCTTAAGGATCATACAGTAAGAAAATGTCCCCTCCCCTGCTTGTTGCTGTGTGCCTTGGCTATTTAGCTGTCAGAGCTACACCAGGAAGTTAAATGCAGTTCTGTACAGTACAGGAGGATAATTAATTATCTTCTGATTGGAAATGATTCAGGAATATTCAAATTTGAAGAATAGAAATTTTCTGTGTTTTAATCTAAACCATCAATGTTAGCACCTTTAAGAGCGTTACAGCAATTAAACCCTTCCTAAAACGACTGAGCAGCTTTTTTTTCGTTTCCACCTGTGGTTTTTTTAACCATAGCAGCAAAAAAATAAAATAAACGGAACAAAAAGTTGCCCAGGTAAAGCTTAGCTCTTCTGTAACATTATTAACATGTCGATTTATTGTTCATTTCTTTTCTCTTTTCTCGACTTAAGTCTTGTAGATAGTCCTTCCATTTGTGAGCTGATGATTTATCTTTAGTAGGGCCGGGTAAAAAAAATCAATTTAATCGATTTTGATTTGATTCCTTTAAATTTTTGCAAAATTGATGTCTAGGGAATGAGATCGATTAGTTTTATAGTGACGCGTGTGACATTCACATTCAAATGAGCAGGAAAGATGCTCTCAAGATGACTTCAAGCCAGACAGCTGCAAATATAGCCAATAGGTTGACTGAAGACATTAACAAATGGGGGCTGACCAGCAAACACCCTGTAGTTGTTACAGACAACACTGCAAATATGGTTTGTGCAGTGAAGGTAATGCAGCTCATGCATGTCTGCTGTGACCCCGCTGTGTCACGTCTGCTTGCTCGAGTGAGGCTTCACTTTTTCACAAACAAGTTTGCACTTATGAGACAGTTTTGTTCACATCTCAAGTTTAAACTGTCTGATTTACAAGTTTGCACTTTGTGTTTAATGTGACAGGAAGAAATAAAATATATGAGCATTTTGAAACACAGTTGAGCCACTTTCATTATTGTAAAAACAGATCGAATCGAAATTAATCGATTCAGGACTTTGGCGAAAATACTCAGCCCTAATCTTTAGTGATCAGCTCAGTCTAATGATGCATTCGCACAGAGCACGCTTTGAGCTGATGGAGCAGCCTGTTATTATGCTAGGTCTATGGTTGACTTGCATTTGGAGCAGCTGGAGCATCATAAGAATCTAACTAAGCATTTGAGTTGCTTTACAAGCAACCGGAACTTGAAAAGGAAAATCTGAACTTTTCCTGCCTGATGCACCACAACAACCAATCAGAGAGAGGCTCTGCTATGTGATGGTGTCCTGGTAGGACATGCAGACACAGATGCAGATCAGGTCACCAAAGATGAGTGTGTTCAGTGTGACACAGTAAGGCCTCATTGCTTTAGCTCCCTCCACAGATTCTCTATCAGCATCAAGTCAGGCTGGGTGTCACTAAAACAACAACAGGACTTCTACATTTATTTTAGTTATTTAAATTACTTTACTAAATCTCAATTCATATTTTAAAAGTAATAGTACAGTGGTAAATAACCATAGAGCAACACTAAGACTAGAATAATCAAAATGTTATAGTAATTCAGTAATAAAACTGTGGGTTCAAAGATTAAACTAATCAAAACATGTTTTTTTTTCCATTTTATTAAAAATACATTGTAATTGAAAAACATCTAACCCAAGTTGAAATGCATGATTGCAAAATGCCTGTTTTTTTGTCCTGATCAGCTCATCTGCATCTGGAAGGTGAAACACTTAAATAACAGATTTTTTTCCCTATCCATTAAAAGCATCATAACCTGGAGCATGTATCATTTTCAGTCCATAAATAACCTTTCAGTGTTATGATGAGTCTATGTAAACCACAGACTCACCGTGGAGGTTTGAGGCACTTGAATATGTCTCATCCTGTAGGTGAGTATGCTAGATTTGTCTTTGTCAGTTAAATGCATTAACATAAATTCTATTTAAAATCCTCCAATAAAAGTAAGAACTCTGAGCATCAACACTAGATCATTAAAGCTCTGGTGTGTATGGCTTGTGTTTAATTAAAAACCGTGGCAAATGCCACCTGGTTATCTATGGAAACTGAAGCTGTACCTTCTTGTCTGGCGGTCTCTCTAGATCTTCCTCCCCATCTTCCTCCTCCTCCTCCTCACTGTGTCTTCTGCTCCTGTTATTGGGTGCAGGGAGCTTTCTGGATGCAGCTACTGGGGGTGCGGGTAGGTCTGAGGTAGAGGGACCTGGTGCTATGCTGGTATCCATAGCGATCAGATAGGAATCCATGTCATCATTCATGAAGTCATCAGAAGGTTGCGGCTGCTCTGCGTCAGCCCTGATTGGACGATCAGAAGGAGAGAGTCAGGGAATAGCCACAGCTACTGTGTTCATGCTGGGCTTGACAAATAATTAATACAATCTTACACATAGAGGACTTTAATGAGAGGAGGCTCCAACCTGGCAACTGTTTCAGATATTTAAGTACGCTATAATTATTATTATATCATTATATTATTATTATTATTATATTACCAATTATTATTGTATTACCTATCATATAAGAGGAACTGGTCTATAACTCATTAGGGAAATTAAAAGACATTCTTATCCTCCACTTTCTTAAAAATATTTTAGCCTTATTTCCTCTAGAAAAGGTTGGCATTAGGTTTTTGGTGATGTGTTTATGGTGATGCATTCAGTCGCTCAGACATTCAGTTGCTCAGAAAAATGAATTTTTTAAAACTTATTACACATTGCCCTGGAGCCAATTTTAGGAGCACACACACTGCAGAAAGCTGCAGACGGTTTAACATGGCTTAACACTTTGTTATAACGCAGCTAACAGTTGATTGGAATATTAAGTAGCAAGAAAACTTCATTAACAGGCTCACTTCATTTGCTGCATCCCTTCACATTAGAAAGCTTGAACTGAAGGCTTTCTAAACTCTGCTAGCCTAGGTGATTGATTTTGCAGACCAGTAGCTATGGAAGTCATAGGAACACCAAAATGCTGTGATCTGTAGGATCGCACCAACTTTGAGGGAAACATTATTCATGAACATTTCTTTTTAAAGTACTGTTATGAATGTAAAAACTAAAAAAAAAAAATGCTAAATGAGGCCTGTGGAGTTGGTTATGTAGCTGTCTAATCATCTGCCGGTTGCTCAGATCCATGAAAAAGGGTTGTAAATTTGAAAAAACATTATGGTGGATTACCTTTAACTAACTAGTAGTCGCCAAAATGAAAAGGGTCTGTAGCAAAGTGACTTCCAGCTGATCTTAACGCTGCTCAAATCATCCACCAGGAGGCATAGAAGAGCTAATCCCCTGGACTTCCTGTCTGTTTCCGAAATGAGTCAGACAGGAAACACTGCCTGAAAGTTATTGATCTGATTTTCATTTTGTTTCATGACTTGTGGCTTTTTTTCCCCCCTTCTTTTACTGACAGCTGATTGGTGTTTTAACGCTTTTACACGCATTATTCACACAATCATAACCATCAAAATCTATTTGATAGATTTTTTAGTTTTACCCTCTGTTGCTTTTTGGAGGACTGCGATCATCCGAAAGCGTTGCGAGCACAAAGTTCCCCTCCAGAACACTGTCTGTTACTGAAAGCACCACAGGGCTGAAACACATTGAGGCAAAATGCAAAGATCAGGTCTGCAGATACAGGGCAGTTATCTTAGGAGGATGATCTGAATAAAAAGAAAAGGTATGCTCACCTGCCTGGTTCATCTAGGTACATGGACACAGGAAGGCCAGTGGACTCGGCGAACAACAGCAAACCCTGAAGGTGGAAAGATAATGTTAAAAAAAAAAGGTTTATCCAGTTATTTTTTTTAAAGGATTGAAGTTTCTTTCTATTATCTGTCTCACCCGAAACTCCTTAAGACAAAAAGTGATGCTGTTGTGAGCTTTTATGGCAAACTGGTCGAACTCATCGGCAGCCAGACACAGCTCAGTTAGCATTACCTTTGAGCGCTCTAAGAGAGGGAAACAGAAAAGAAGGGAAGTTGGCAGGATTAAAATCTAACTTCTGCTTCAGTTTGACAAAACTATTTTACTTACAAAAGCATATTACGGCTTAAATCCACTAAATTCATTTTTTTTTTTAAAGCACAGTGTGTCTCTTATTTAATCTTCTTGACTTTGAAGCCCTTTTAAAACGGTTCAAATTAAAACATGACCAATCGAAGTTGGGGGAGAAAGGAAACATTAATAAATATCTAGAGAGGTGCAGATCAGGTTTTAATTTGTGTTTTTGTGTTTTAATAACTGATTTATTTTCTTGCTTCACCATCCGGTGATGTGCCTAATGGGGGGGGGGAAACCCCCCCGACACACAAAACGACAAATGACGTCACCTGATTCATCCTCCACATAATTCCTGACCCACATCCGTTCATCATTCACCGTCACGGTCACTTCTTCCAAGGACGTAGGGAAGTGTGCAACCGTGTCCACCAGCACTCTGAGAACAAAGACAGCAAAGCTTATTTGAAAAAAAAATTCTTTGAAAGTATTAGTGAGGCTTATTATGAGGAGCTGTAGAAGAAAAGCAAAACATGAGTGAAGATTTATAGACCTGGGCTGGGCTCTGAGCACATTAGCACAGCTGTCTTTATCAAACACTGCCTCCAAGCTTTCACTGTCCTGGTAAGACAGGTTATGTGTCTTCAGGAGTCCTGGAGAGAACATCCCAACACACAAACCCTTAGACCTCATAATGACACACAGGAATGCAATGTAATAAATGCACAGCGATCCAAATTAGTAATAAAAAATGAATGACAAGAATTCCTGGTGAAATTCTCACACAACAGCAATGTTATGCCAGTGGGACGCCCTGTTACCATGTTTGCAGTGCAATGTGAAGGTAAGGCGGTCTTTTTGCTCATCAAGGCTGATGTGACACTTTTCCACCGACTTTTCTAAAGTTGCCAGAGATCTGAAGACAGTCTGCACACTCTGGCAAATTAGAGAACAAAACAGGAAGTCAGACAATAACTCTTAAACAGAGGCTGAAGCTTTTTCTGCAGGGAAATCATCTCTTAGGTGTTACATGTCCTGTAGAAAAAAAGAAACACTGGATATTACCTTCTTTTTATAATTTCAACCATATATGAGTAAATTGGAGGCATTTACATTGTGAGTTCATGTGCAACTATCTGGGGCAGGAAGCTTGGAGGTTTCACACTGATAACCACAACCTTCTGGTACCATCGTGGTACAGAAAATATCAGGTAAAGATGAAGCTTTGACTGTTTAACAGACATGGCACTCTTTGGTTGCCAGGGATACAGTGCAATAAGAACAAAATATTGCTTTTTTTAACAAGTAAAATGTGTAGTGGCCTTCCCACAGCCACCTAAGCAGCAGAGCTCCCTTACTCGAGGCTCCACACGGTCATTTAAAAAAATCATTGCTGGCATCTCATAAAAAAAAAAGAAAAGCTAGAAATCCTGGGAGGGTTTAAATGTTTAAACTTTGCAGGTTTAAAACTGCAACTTCTTTTAGACACCAGAGAGCAAAAGTCTAAAAGAATTCAAGGATTAATTTAGTGCAAGATCAGTTTTCTTCCATTGCTATGCTCCATTTACTTTATTTTAAGTATGCATTCATGCTACCAGACAAAATGAACACAAAACAATGCAAAAGCGTAGAGGAAGTGACGATTTTGAAAACTTCAATGCAAAAAAAATAATAATAATAAAAAAAACAGTTTGCATATGTTAATATAAAAAAAAAAAAATTCTTTTAAGGTAAGTAAATACTAAGCAGAATGACCCAGAGTAATGGACAAAAACGGTCAACAAATTTTTTTGATTAGATTCTTGATGCAGTATTTTATGTTAATGTTAATTATTTGATTAACACGATTATTCAAAATAACTTTTTTGTCATGAAGTATAAAAACCAAAATAGGCTTAAAATCCTTTAGTCTGTGGTGTATGTGTAAAACAGTAGCTATAACTGTTCATGAAATAAACCTTTGTCATTATGTCTAATGTAAGGAAAAGTGCAGATGATGATGATGGAGCAGCTTTATGGTGGTATAACATAGAAAACATGGCAGAAAAACACTGAAAGGGTTACATTTTAGATTGTTTTTTTTGTTTTGTTTTTTGTTCTCACACCTTTATTGCCATTTTGCAGCGGAAGCTGAGCTCCTTGGGAATGGAGTACCTGCACAGAAACGTTGCATTTAGTTAGTATTTACACAGATTCACTGACCCACTCAAAAAAAGACAGGAACATTAAAGCTGCACCTGCTGAAGAAGAGCGGTGCGAACAGGAAGCAAGCATATGCCGATCGAGAAGAGTTCACAGACCGCAGGGCCAGCTACAAGAGAGAGAGAGAGAAAAAAATACAACTAAATCAGCGATGTTCATTGACGCAAGTTTGTACTGACAGGAAGAAACCAGACTGCATGCATGGCAGGAGGAAGTGTCGTTTTATCTGACAGCAGCTGTAGAACAGCTCACCCCATCTTCCTGTGGCTCCACATACAACTCATCTCCGATCCTGGACAGACAGTGGATGGCTTTTCCCAGCACTGGACGGTACACACAGACACACACACACACATAAACAATTATTAACAACGCATACTGCTTTCCATCTAACTACAAAAGGATTTGAACAGAAAGAAAAAGGGTAAATACCTTTCACGTTTCCTCCGGTCACGACACATTGCATTTTTACAGTTATGAGTTAATTAGCAAACCTTGCTATGAGCTTCATAAAACTATTAAACGGCCGTAGAATCGGTTGGTTGGATTTTAATGGTGTCCGACCAAGGAATAAGTATACTATTTGAAAACATACTTGTTGTGACTGTGTTATTAAAAGTTCATTTGCAGGGACCACTTCAAATATCCTACCCTCGCCTTGTTTACGCCGCCATAACTCGCTTCTTCGCAGCGGACCAATCAGAGAGACGGATTTCCAGCGCATGCGCACTCACGAAAGTGTAAATTCTATTGGCGGGAATTCCGGCATCTGTCCTGAGATCCTGTAGATTTGGCTTAGATCCCCAAAAGAGTCGACTCTTTCGACTTGTGTTTTCTGACATATTTCAGCGCTATGAAATAGGGACATTTTGGAAATATGACCACTTCGTGTGGATACATAGAGAATGCTGATACTTTTAAACAGTAGGGGTACATAGTTAAAGAGATTGTGATTCTTTAAATTTACTAAATAAACTTGGTACACACTGCATAACATTTTATGATGATACATTCAACAATGAAAGAGTTGAAGTTGCTGCAAAATCTTTATTTATATTTATGGAGTTATTTATAGATATGTCTTTTTCATTTTCAGTGTGCTAGTTTAACCAGTCCATCATTAACAACATGATGGTAAACCTGTTGAATTTCTTTATAGTTTTTGGTTTTGGTGGGTCCCCCAAACCCAACAATGCATTATTATTTGTTTTCCTTATGTTTAAATAAATAAATTAATATACACCTATAGAATATGATATTAAAACTTTTCTGCATTTTTTTCGCTCTGTGTTCTATCTTGATCACAGATTGTATTATTCTGCCTTGTGCTTATGACTTATAATGTAAAGCAATGGTTCTAGAAGGTCTTATGTTACACACCCTCAAATTCAAAAATGTCACCTGTTTTTTTCCAGTGCACCCAAATACTCTTTATTGATGCGTTTAGTAAGAATTTTCATGATATGACTTAGATTTTCCCCAGTTCTGCTCACCTGACCTAAATTAATAAGCATTTAACAAACAGGACTTGACAGTGTAAGGTTCTGTTGCACAAAAACTAAATTGAACTTCAGTTTACTCTAATAAAATGTCAACAATTTTATGGTCATAGTTTACAACCTATACATTCTAATCTAAATTTAGTCTCCCAACATAAATTAGTTCAGGTATCTAAATATATTTTTTTTCAGTGAGATGTTGAATGCCGTAAATTATGCTATACACCATATCACAAAAAATGCTCACTGCCACTTTGTGGATTTTTGATTCCCTTATATTTGCAATGGATTATAACTTAGCCAAATGATTGATTGAGAATATTTCTCTTTATTTTATTGATGTACTTGTTCTTCATCTTCATTTGGGACCAGAACCACGTCATCTACGAACAGCAGGGTTGAAATCTTCACGTCACCAAACCAGACCTTCCCCGGCCCTTGGCTGCACCTAGGAATTATGTCCATAAAGGTTACGAACAGGACCAATGACATAGGGCAGCCCTTCCCTCTGTCATGTTGAAACATGCACTGGGAACACGTCCGTACCAAACTCCAATTAGGAAAAAATATACAAACATTTTCCATCTAAGATATAAAAACTTTTTCATCTGTCAATATGCTCTATCCAGAACTCCTAACATGGAAAAGTTTTATTTTCATCTGGTTTAATTTCATAAAAAGTCTTTTTTAAGGAACCTTTGACTATCTGGTTTTTAATTGATCAATCAAAAAAAGAATCAACAAAAAAAAAATAGTTGTGGATTATCCTGGCAGCCGCAACCGTTCCCACCTGCACCACATTTTGTTGATGCTTTGACATCTAAGGCATCACTATTTGATCCCCTAACAAGCAAAGTCTTGGTGACATGGATATCCCCAACCCTATCCACCTTCCAATGTGTTGTAATACTACTTTCCAGAAGGGGGAAGTGCATTAACATTCCTATATCGCATGTATAAAAGTTCCTGATTCCGTTTTACATTTCCAACATAAGTTATCCGCAAGTAGGCCCATTCTATGTAGCCTAGATGGTGTGAAATAAAACCTATGTACCATCCTATAATATGTACATTTCCCTCCCGATTCTTTAAAGTTTTTCCCATTATTTGGAATTATTTTCAACCATTCTTCATCCCTAAAAGTTCAGCCAATCCCCAGACCTTTACATATATCTTTTTTCATGCTTTTAAACAATTTATAAAATATAGATGCCTTATACTTAACTCTGCTTGAGCCCATAAATTCTTGTATTGGATTATCTTTATGTGTAAATTTACATTTAATAATACCACCTCTAATTTGTAGATATTTCCACAAACTATCTTTTTTAAGTTATATTTCAGCATGACATTTGAAAATGTCCCCTATGTCCTTTGCACACCATATTTTCTTAATGCTAAATCTGGATTTCTTCTTATCCCAGAGGAAGTCCTTAAAACAAATCTCATACTGTTTTTATACATGTGACGGGATGTCAACAGGTACCATTATGAACACATAAATAAACATCAGGGTTATCACCATTTTCATGACATTCACCATTCCCCATACACATAGTTTCATTTTTGCCCATTTGTCAAGATTAATTCTTATTTTTTGAAGAAGCGGTTCCATATTTAATAGAATTATTTCCTCTATTTTATACCTGAAGGAATCCCCTTAAAGTTAAATTGCATAATATCACTTGAAATGCATTCCTAGGATATGGGCATGCACTCGGATTTGTTCAAATTGATCTTGTATCCCCAAAATTGGGAATATAATTCAACTCAGACTATGGAAATCTTCAGCTGATCAGAATGTTAAAAACTGGTTGGAATTAATGTTGGAAATAGTGTCATATGAGCAAATGCTGGCTAGGCTACATAATGACATAAAATGTTAAGAAATTGAATTATTTACTCTCCTGCAATGTAGGGATAATTAAATGCCTTTGACGAACTGCTGTTTTGGAAAGTATAGATGAGTGATTATTTCTGTCTTTTTTGGTTGTTTCTGCCAACATTGAGGATATTTGCATATGTGCCAATTATTTGTGATACTCTGATTGTTTGGATATGCGCTGACCTTTTTTTTTTTTTTAGTTTTGTTTGTGGTTTTTGTTCTGTGGGGGGTGGGGAGGGTTGGGGAAGGTTGTACGCACATATGTTCTACAAATAACTTTAATGACAAAAAACAAAACAAAAAAAATTTTTAGTTGCAGCCCGAGATAAAACACTGACTTTAGTCTCCTTTCTTATGGAGGGGAACCACTACCCCAGTCTGCCAGTCCAGGCCCACTGTCCCTGACCACCACATGATGTGGAAGAGGCGTTTCAGCCACGGCAGCCCAACAACACCCAGAGACCAGGTGTGTGGGTGCTGTTGGGCTGTCATGGCTGACACACCTCTTCCACATCATGATGTCCTTTTGCAACTCCTGCTCTGGGTCAAAATGGTGAAAGAGAGGATGCTTGGCCTCATGGTACCTAATGCTACCTCAGGAGAAGCCCTCAGACCTTTATGTCCCTGCTAAGGAAAGCATCCCCACAGCATAATGAAGCCACCGCTATGCTTTATGATAAGAATTACGAGTTCAGTGTTAGTTTTTTTTGCCCTGCATGTATTCATTCCCTGCAGGAATTATGTCAAATTGCGAATTGGAGTTTCTTCCCTTTTAAATCTTGTAAATTTTTCATTGTCATGAAAGTCAGATTTGGGAAGTACGCAGTTTATTAAACAAATGATCTTGTCTAACTGTGGATTTCTGCAGGTCCTCCACAGTTACTGTGGGCCTGTTTGCTGCTTCTCTGATTGATGCCCTTGTCTGGCCTTTAATCTTAGGTGGAAGCAATCCAGAGAGCTGTATTTACACTTAATTTATATGAGGACTAATTAGATGATTTCCGATGGCTGTCATGTGCACTGGACTTTATTTAAAGGGTATCAATGTAAAAGGACCTGAATCGAAAATAACTTTTCAAATTTTTTTTTAAATGCATCTGAAAACCTGGTATCAATTTTGTTCCTCTTCATAAATATTTACTCATTTGTGTTGTTCTATCATTCAAATTTCCAATAAATTATATTTCATTTTGTAGTTGAGACAAAATTTGGAAAAAGCAAAGCAGCAAGGCACAGTAGAAGTTAGTTATTTTCTGAAGAATAATTAAATAAAGACATCATGGGTCACTAAAATACCATCATATAGTTTTCTCTCAATCTAAAGATGCAAATGGTAAAAAATAGCAGCGACTTTGGGTAAAAACCTCCCTATAATTACCAAAGGAGGGTTACTGTGGGAAGAAAGAGGGTGTGTGTGTACACATGTGTTATACTCAGTGAGAAATAGGAAGGAAGGGCGATTAAAAACACAAAAAGAAAGACGCACGCAGAGGGAGGGTTACTGTCAAAGTGAAATTATCTCACCTCTCTGGTTGTTCTTGTTTGTCTGCTTCAGTGCGTAAGATGTGAGGAACGCTGGCGTGAACTCACTCTCCTCCCATCAGAGGAGATTGAAGCAGCTGCTGAAGAAGAGGTGTGACTAAAACTGTGGACATTTTAGAGAAAAAGAGAGATACTTTTACCAGAAGCAAGAAGAAGGTTTTTTTTTTATAAAAGAAGGACTTTTGCTGCAAGGTTTGAGAAGTGTTGGCGTGTGGATGTCAAACGAAGGCTTGTTTGAGAAGAAACAGCAGGAAGATAAGCGGTAAAATGTGGGCCCTGGTCTACTTTTGTGGTGAGGAAGTGTTCGCATGATGGAAGGAGATTGAAAAACTCTGTTTGAGCAAGCCAGCCTTCGCAGGAGTGTTTTCTACTACAGGTGGATGAAAGGAGTGAAATGATCCCAGCACAGGTAACAAGCTCCAATAAAACACAGCTGTGAGTGGAAGCCATCCTTGTTTAGCTGGATGTGCTGCATTGTTCAAATGTGTTTCAGTGAAACCAGGATTTAACACAGAAGCTTGAACCTAGATGTCTCAGTCAGCTCAACAATCAGACTCTCAGGTCTTGCTGCAGTCTATGCTGCAGAGACTGAAGCTCCAACCTGGAAGAGAGGGCCAGGCGTTTTGTCAAGCACCCGTATCCCCATCTGGAACTCCTGCTCTGGGTCAAAATGGTGAGCGAGGAGCATCTAGCTTTCAGAACATTGAAAGCAGATCTGTAAATGTGTTTAATTTTAATGGGAACACTTCAAAGGAGTTTACAGTCCCAGCT